TGTGCAACAGAAACTAACACAGTATTGTGAAGCAATTATACTCCAATAAAGATCTATTAAAATAAATAAATAAAAAGGCTTCTGTAAGGCATAAAGTTCATCTGTTGTCATTCAACAAATGACAAAGCTGGATGGCAAGGTTTAAAGCATCCCCTGCTTCTTAGGGTTCCCTTCTATCTCAATCCAGGATAAGTGATGGAGACACTGACCAAATAATACATCTCCTCAATCTATTCCAATGGCAACCAAGACCACTGTTTGGGGCTTTCTCTGGATTTTTCTTACCTTGATTCGCATAAACAAAGAATTGTTTTTGTCTTCCAAATTCTGACACAAGCCAAATAGTCACACAAGCTCCCCAGTGCTGAGGCGATCTGCCCATCCATCTTGGCAGCAACTTTATGGAAAACAGTAAGGAACTACATACACAACAGAGGTTAGGTCCTAACCCAGGTCCTTTTAAAATTGGAAGTAAATTTCTACTTGATTAAAAAGTGAGTTTATGACCTGCAGAATGGGAGAAAATATTTGCAAATCATATAATGGATTAATATCCAGAGTATATAAAGAACTCCTACAACAACCAAAACCCAACCCTGATTTAAAAATGGGCAAAGAATGCCCATTTCTCCAAAGAAGATATACAAATGGTGAATAGCACATGAAAAGATGCTCGTCACTTAGTACTAGGGAAATGCAAATCCAAACCACAAAGAGATGCCACTTCAAACCCATTAGGATGGCTATTACCCAAAACTCAGAAAACGAGTGACAATGATGATGCGGAGAAACTGAAACCCTCGGCATTGCTGATGGGAATGTAAAATGCTTCAGTCCGTGTGGAAAACACTACCATGGAGAGAATTCCCGTACGATCCAGCAATCCCACCTCTGGGTACGTACACAGAAGAACTGAAAGCTGGGGCTTTAGGAGATACTTGTACACCCAAGTGTCAACTGATGTATGATTGGATCAACAAAATGTGGAATATACATACAACGCAATATTATTCAGCCTTAAAAAGGAAGGAAATTCTGACACAGGCCACAACATGGACAAGCCTTGAGGATTTCAGGGGCTCAGAACGAGCCTCCCCAGAGTGTGTTACTTTTGCACGAGGAGCTAAAGGCTATAGAGCCCCTGTGGGTTCAAGAGAAACTCCTGCTCCTTCCTCAACTACCTACAAGAATTTAAATTGGGGATTTTTCCCAGAAAAGAGTTATTACCGGAGATAAATTTTGTCTGAGTGGCACCACGTATATGGCAGGGCAAATACCTAAGTACCCAACATCTGCTCTTCCTTTTATCATCCTGTGTATGACCCTCCTGTCCTTGGAAGCCCCAGGCTCCTATCCCATTCCTTAGCTCAGGGTGGCACATATACCTCATTTTACTTTTCTCTCTCTGACCCTCTCACGTATTGTAGGGTTCCCGTTATGTGCAAAATTAAATTTGATCTTTCCTGTTAATCTATCTCATGTCAATTTAATTCTTAGACCAGCCAGAAGAACATAGAAGGGTAGAGGAAAGTTTTCTTCTTCCCTGACAGGATTTTATACTAAGTGAAATAAAGCCAGTTACAAAAAGACAAATACGGTATGAATCCACTTATATGAAGTAACTAGAGGAGCCAGATTTACAGAGACGGAAACTAGAATGGGGGTTTCCAGGAACTGGGGGATGGAGAAAAGAGAGTTAGTGTTTAATGCAGACAGGGTTGCTTGGGAAGATGAAAAGGTTGTGGAGATGGACGGTGGTGATGGCTACACAGCAATGTGAATGTACTTAATGCCACTGAGCTGTGCACTGAAAAATGGTAAATTTTATGTTACGCAAGTTTGACCACAATTTTAAAAAAGTGAATTTACAGGAATAGGGGTATCACTGGTATTCTTTCTAAAGCAGGTGCCAGCCTCAAAATCCAGGAAATATGTATGGAAATAAGACAAAATGTATTTAGGTAAACTGCCAAAATGACTACCCATACCTTATCAATATGAAAGCTGTAAAAACCTACAGTATCTTTAAATGCTTCAACTGTGTTATTAAAATAATTATCGCATTTGTCTCATGAAGCAGAAGCTCAGTGACATACCCTCGTGGTTTATCCAACGGATCCTAGGGAAGATGTGTAGATGTCTACAGTCTGTATGTGTTCTCCTGAATTTAGTGCTATCGGCACACATGCCAACAGTAAGAGATCTACCAAGGCTTGGGGCGGTGAAAATACTCAGACAATTGGTCATCCATCTCATGAAGAAGGACATCAAAAATCAAGCATTTGAAACTAACTCATTTACCCATTCAAAACACCAGGCATGCGCTGGGCTAGGGTCAAGGATGAATCGCCTAGACAGGCAGGCTCCAATCCCAAGAAGCTGACAGTCTGGCAGAAGAAACAACTAACAATTGGGTGCAGTGGCCAACACTGGGGAGAAGCTTCCACAAGTGCCAAGAAAGTATTTTATGTGTGGCCAGACGGATTCCTTTGAACTGCAAGGCATGACATTTCCCACCCAATTCTTGTTGCCGAAACCTTTGAGCTTCTGACCTACATATTTTAACCATTGTTTAGTTTTAATTTGTGCTCGTGGTAACGTCAGTATGAACAGTGGGCCTTAGAGTCACTTCCAGGCCTAAAACCATGGGTTCATTACACCCCAAGAGAGACAGGAACAGCTTTTTGTCACATGTTCTAAATAGATGCATTTTTAGAAGATATTTCTCCCGGAAACCTTGGACCCTGCTAGTTGACAGCCACCGAGTGTGAGGACAGAACCTGGGAGTGATCTCAGCTCCCTGGAGGGAGCTCTATGATCTCACTGATATGTGGGTGGGGTCTTCCATGCCTCTTTTAAAAAGCTATTTCCCTCTGCAGAGGTAAATACACTTGTTATTTATGCCCTTTGTAGTCTGAAATAAAAATAACATTTTTAAATCAAATCAATTTGAACATACTTCAAACAACTTGTAGTTAACAAGGCATCTGAAAAGTATTTTCGGGAATGACCTAAAGACCTTTTCCAATGGAGCGTTTTCTTTATGACCCTCAATCTTGTATGACTGG